AGTTCACATCAAGTTCTAGTTTGAATTCTCCCTCTGCTGTTTGGATCATTTCTGCATGAGACTCGGGTTCAAGCACACTTGGGTTTAAACCAATCTGTTTATCCATTCTTCAGGTTGCTCTGGAGGCAGCCAAGGCTTTGGATGAGCGCAGCTGCTGGGAGCGTCTGGGTGAAGCAGCACTGCTGCAGGGTCACCACCAGGTCGTGGAAATGTGTTACCAGAGGACCAAGAACTTTGACAAGCTCACCTTCCTCTACCTCATCACCGGAAACCTGGCCAAGCTGCGCAAGATGATGAAGATCGGTGAGCGATGCAGACTTTTTAATGAACAAAGATGTGGTGGTTTTATTTTGAAGTTTGTGTATCTTGTTATGTCAGTGAACTTATATCCAAAACTCTCTGTTTGTAGCTGAGATCAGGAAGGACATGAGTGGTCACTACCAGGCAGCTCTCTACCTGGGAGATGTCAGTGAGAGGGTCCGCATCCTCAAGAACTGTGGACAGAGTGAGTTTAAGTGTTTTCTCTGTTCATTTACTGTAGAATTTTTAGGCTTAATGTTTTTTGGTTATGTATTCAATTTGAAAAGCAATCAAACATCTACCTAATCATCTTAATTTCTACATTACCGTACATGTGCTTACCAAATCAGTGTTGTTTTTTACATTGTTGACAATGGAACAAGAAGCCAACATGTGTAACTGTTTGTGTGTTTGTTTCCAGAGTCTCTGGCTTACCTGACTGCTGCCACTCATGGGCTGGATGAAGAGGCCGAGGCGCTGAAGGAGACCTTTGACCCAGAAAAGGAGACGGTGTGTTTTAGAAAACATTCTCTGGAGCTTTTATACACACAAGGACATCCATAACTAGTAGTCTGAACCAGAAGCAGTGCTCTCAATAGTTGTGTTTTTTTGTCTGTGTAGCACAAACGCATAATCTCAATAAAACAATGGTGGGTCGTTTGTCTTGTAGGTGCCGGAGGTTGATCCCGATGCACAGCTGCTGCAGCCTTCTCCACCCATCAACCCTCTGGACACCAACTGGCCTCTGCTCACTGTGTCAAAGGGCTTCTTTGAGGGAGCCATTGCAGCAAAGGGTGAGTCATAAATCTGCAAAAGTCCAATTGTTGAAAGTCAGAAAAAATACTTGTATAAGTTGTGGTAGCCGGTGGCAGCTGCTTTTGCCAGAGTAAGAACCGTGTTTTTGTGTTGTAGGGAAGGCCGGTCAGATGGCTGCCGACGTGGACATGGAGGCCGCAGGAGGAGAGGGCTGGGGAGACGATGCCGAGCTTCAGCTGGATGAAGGTAAATCCAGTGCAATTTAAGGAACGTTTTTTTAAACCTGACCTTACAGTGAGCGGATTGGACCACATGATTAATTCTGCACCTTTTGTATAAATGAATATTTCTCTGTCTCTCAGATGGTTTCATGGATGCTCAGGAAGGATCAGGGGAAGAAGGTGGGAAAGAGGAGGGAGGAGGCTGGGAGGTGGAGGAAGACCTGGACCTTCCTCCAGAGCTGGTGAGAGAAATCCCTCTACTAATAAAATGGAGTTAACAATGAACACAAGAACAGTGTTGATAGTTTTCACGTCAGGTCTGCTAAGTGCTTTTTGAGGTGACATGCCAATATTTTGTCAGCGTTACCTCTTTTATACATCTCACCCCCAAAGAAATGACACAGGCCTCAGCTAAATGGGGTACTAACAAGTTTTATTTTCTGTTCTGCTATATGTTTAAACTTTTAATTTCAATGTCTTTCTCTAATCCATCAGGACATCGCGGCTGGTGGAGGTGGAGGAGCAGAAGATGGCTTCTTCGTCCCACCGACCAAGGGAATGAGTCCCACACAGATGTGGTGCAACAACTCCCAGCTGCCAGTGGACCACATCCTGGCTGGCTCGTTCGAAACTGCTATGAGAGTAAGTACAACAATTCACATTGATTTCTTATTGTTTGTTTGTATTGTTTTTAAGTGTTTTTTTTTTAAATTTTGCCTGAGGTGTGGCCAAGCACAGAAGGGATCACGCTTTATACTGACATTTATTGTTCTCCTCGTGTACCACAGTTGCTCCACGACCAGGTAGGAGTTGTGAGCTTCGAGACCTACAAGTTGCTGTTCATGCAGACACTGTCCAGAGGCCGCACCTGTTACTTGGGGCTGCCCTCCCTGCCCTGCCTGCGTAGCCAACCCCAGAGAAACTGGAAGGTACAGCTGTTTTTTTTGTCACCTCTTCATAAGGATCGCAATATGCTCCTCAATGTGCGTCAGTGGAGACGGATGAAATGATGAATTAAGATGTACCTGCTTTCCTGTTTCTAATCAAAGACTTTTTAGTGAAAGTAAATATACAAATATTGTTATTTTTTTAGGACTGTGGGGCAAAGCAAGGACTGCCTGCTGTGGGCCTGCGCCTCTCCGACCTCATCGCTCGCCTGCAGCAGTGCTACCAGCTGACTACATCCGGGCGTTTCGAGGAAGCTGTCGAGCGCTTCAGAGTCATCCTGCTGTCGGTTCCTCTGCTGGTGGTGGATAACAAGCAGGAGATTGCAGAGGTGAGCACCAAACCGGCTGTGAATTGCAATCAATTAAAACTCCAAATGCAGCACCAATTATGCCAAATTTGTTTTTTTAAACCCATGTGGGGCTGCATGCTGCTTATAAACCTGAATATATAAATGTGTGACTTGGATCTGTGTGTGTTTCAGGCTCAGCAGCTGATCACAATTTGCAGAGAGTACATTGTGGGTCTGACCATGGAGACGGAGAGGAAGAAGCTGCCTAAAGACACATTGGATCAGCAGAAGAGGCTGTGTGAGGTAAACGTCTTCGGCTTTCTGACGTCACCTTGATTGAAAAAGCTGTTGTTGTAGACGGACCATCTGACGTGTGCGTCTGTGTTTCCCCTACAGATGGCTGCTTATTTCACCCACTGTAATCTCCAGCCGGTCCACATGGTGCTGGTGTTGCGCACAGCGCTGAACCTCTTCTTCAAGCTGCGCAACTTCAAGACCGCCGCCAGTTTTGCTCGTCGCCTGCTCGAGCTGGGGCCGAAGCCAGATGTTGCACAGCAGGTCGGTTGTGCGACATCCACAGCTTCATTTAGTGTTTTCAGTTTTGAGTAGGAAGCTGCACAGATGATGTATTTTTGTAGGCAAACCCAAAAGTTCACACTTGTTTCCTTGACGAAAAGCCAATAGGATATTTCCATTGGATTTTGTATTATTGCAGAAAATAAGCTCTGTAGCAAACACGTTTTTGTATTTAAAGATTTTTTTTCTGCAAGATAATCTTCACCACATCTTAACACCACACTTAGGTGTTTTTTTTTAAATCGTGATTGCAATAGGCAGAATAAAAAAAGCTGAAGTTATACTATAAACTATCTACACAACGAGGCTGTAAAGCCGTGATGTTTTGCAGTCTCATTCAGCCACTTTTCAGAACTCATTTCTGCAGCACTCTTTTAAAAGTACTGTACTGTTTTCTCATGTCTTGCCATCATGTTAAATGTCTTCCCACCATTCAGACCCGCAAGATTTTGGCAGCCTGTGAGAAGACCCTGACGGACGCCCACCAGTTGAACTACGACCCCCACAATCCATTCGACCTGTGCGCTGCCTCTTTCGTCCCTCTGTACCGCGGACGTCCTGTTGAGAAGTGCCCTCTGTCCGGAGCCTGCTACTGCCCTACGTACAAGGGCCAGATCTGCAGGGTCACACAGGTGGGTCGGGACTCGGGACAGCCATGCACAACTCCAGTCAAAATAATAAATTGCGTTGATATTCTGTTTTATAAAAGGACACTTTCGAGACCATCCGAGTCTCAAAAGTGTGGAGAGAAAACAATTTCAACAGTAGCGACTGTTGCTGAGTTAATGAACTTAAATATACATGTAGAATACTAGCTCATACAAATCATCATACATATTTATAGATCTTGTTTTCTTTAGATATGTCAGTAGTATTGACAGAAGTTTCTCTGCATATTGGAGTTAAGTTAAGAAAACAAGTGTAATAGATAGTAAGTGTTCTCTTGTTACATCAGAAAGATTAGTTGGGGGCTTCCTGGTTGATGTCTGTCAGTAGAAACGGAGATTAGTGAGTGATTATCTTTTTCATTATTTCCCCTCTGTAATCTTTAATTTCACCTTATTTTCTAGGTGACAGAGATCGGTAAGGATGTGATCGGTCTGCGTGTGAGTCCACTTCAGTTCCGTTAAGAGGTGGAGAAGACAAGACGAGGACAAGAAAAAGACAAATACATCCACATTTACTCTGGAGAAATAATATTATTATTAACACGTGAAATGAAAGCAGAGATATATAGGTTTGCTCACAGTGATGTTAAACTTCTGGGATCCTTTTAACTATCTTATTCATATGCGCCATCCTTCAAAATGCTATTTCCCTGCTGTGTCATCTCTGTGCTGTGGCTTTATTACAGCTGTGAACTTAACTGTTGTCTCTTTCCTGACTTGTATGAGATGAATAATTCAGTGAGCAGCACTGCTGTGTATCTGGGCAAAATGAAAAATAAAAATAAATGCCTGTTTATGAACAGAAATGCGTTTGTGTGGTGTGTTTTTGATGTGGTATGTGGCCACAGCTTTATGGCCAATGCTACTTAGGGATGATGGTTTTATTGCATGTATTCAAAGTTCACCACAGTGCTGAGTCATGAAGGAAGTACAGAGTTTAATCACTCTAGTTGGCATTATGTTGGGCCTTTACATTTAAACAAGGAGGCTAGGTGTTGGAAGGAGAGAAAGTAGTTATTACATGTATGTATGATGATTATTTTATTTATATGTGTGTGTGTATGTATATATATATATATATATAGTTCTATGCAGTACGTATGCCGTTACTCAGTGTTAGGAGTGTCATGGGTCCCAATATATATATATATATATATATATACACACACACACACACACTCTTAATTACTCCAGTTGCAGAGATCCAGAGCTGCCATTTTGAATGAGTCCGTCTCCTTTCAGGGTAGCGGAACCAAACTGCGGAACCCGGACGCTTTCCAAGTCAACACCTACTGTTGTGTTCTTCTGATTATCGAACCAGGAAGATGGATTTGCTGTCGAGCAAATGGCTCGTTAATTTGCTAGTTTGTTGGTTTTTCATCGGTAAGTTGTATTCAAACAGTTCTCATGTTTCACGTCCGTGTATTTGTTTGTTAGCAGAGTGTTTCTGTACGAGGTGGTTAGCTTGATGGACTTCTTTGTGCTCGGAGCTAGCCGAATGCTAAGCTAGCAAGCGCTAGCCAAAAAGCTGCCCTGTTTTGTCTTAAATCACAACTGCCTTTTTTTTAATACAAGTTTCACAATATGGGGTTCAGTGCAACGATTCTTGGCCCATTCCTGTCAACTGGAAATTCAGAAATAATTCTTTTTTATTTTGTTATTGAGTCTTTTCGACGACTTTCCGCTAACACTGTCACAGATTGTTTCTGCCCTGTCGGTAAACGAGCCGCCCAGCATCCCGTGATGCGCTCGAGGGATTATATGCTTTGATCGTTACACAAAACTACAACTATTTCCTCGTTTATTGTTGAATTGGTTGTCACAAAGCAGTTGAAGCACAAACTTAAGTTCTTTTCACATCTTCAGGGTGCCCTGGTACATTCGGCATACAGGTGATCCACCAAAAATAGCACTTTGTTTCAATTAAAACGTTTTATTTATCTATTTATAAACTGTAACGTTACTGCTTTTACACAAAGTGCTGCAACTGTTAGTGGACCAACAGGTGAAACAAGCCGAAAAGCTACATTTTGGTGGAGCTGCATGTTGACAGTTAGTGTCTGGAAAGAATGCAAGCAATGACTCATTCAAAGTAAATATATCGGTCTTAATTTATTGCCACCATTGTCTCAGAGAAAGGGTCATCTGCCCATATGCAAGAGTATTTACACTAAGGGGATCTAGTCTCAAGTCTAAAATTAGGAAAGTAGATTTATAAGTGAGGGATGAAGGATGTGACTCTTTTAGTTTGTCTGAATAATTAAAACCCACTCTCTGTTTTTCTTTCTTTCTTTTGCAGTCTTTGTAAATGCTATGCCCTAATGTTTATTGCTCTCCTGGCCCGTGCAGTTGTTGAAGTTTACTTTTTTTTCTTCCCAGGTGTCGGCTGTAATTCGGTGGAAAAGAAGATTTATGTGAATCTCAATTACACTATCCCGTGTGTGCGGCTGCTCAATGCAACACATCAAATAGGATGCCAGTGTGAGTAAAGCAGCAGATTATTAAAGGGATGCTTTGTACTCGTCACAAGAATCCAAGCATGCATCTAGGACACTCGTGACAAGTAAAAAATACTTTTATACACAGTTTGCAACTCTTAAATCAAGAGTATGTGCCCCTTATGGCCTCTGTGTGTCTTTCTTTGGCTTGGTTATTGTAGTAAAATGATTACTACTTAGTTTATTAAAACGTGTTTTTAAAGATTTGTCCATGTGGTTGCTCCAGGCAGAAACCTACAAATCAGTTCTGTGGTTTTGAGAGTCAGAAATGATTTTTCAGAAGAAGATAAAAGCAAATAAATTGCAGATAAACCAGGCAATTTTTCTCTGATTACTATCTATCAAAAGCTGTTAAAATGCAGTGTAGTGTTATTCTGTAGTGTACTGTTATACTACAAAAAGCCCCAGCAGCAGCACTTTAGTCTTTGTTGTGTCAAAACCTTTCCCGTAATGGAGAAGAGGTCTGGAGGACCGACATCGATTAGATAAGCTTTCAGGACATTTTTATCAGCTGTTGTATCACCTCACAGATGCTGATACTAAATTTCCTCTCTCTGATTTTTAGCCCATTTGTCAGGTAATGTGGGCGTGCTCCATGTGCTCGAGTCGGAGGAAAACCTGGACTGGGTCCTGCGCTCTGGTCTCAATCCTCCATACCTGGTAATCCTGGAGTCTCCTCTGTTTACCAGGTACAGTGAACATGTCTCACCCTGCAGAGGAAGCATCTCTTACTAGTTCCTAAGAGAGGAAGCTCTATGGTATACTTCAATGTCTCACCCCGTCACAAATCAAGAGTTTACAGTTGTTTACATAGATTAAATAATAGTGAAAATGTGTTCAATAAGTCCTAAGCATTTATTTCACTTACAGAAGATAAATGTACAGTCTATCCCTGAGGACAGAAGGTTGAATCACATTTCTGACCCGTGTTTGTACCCGCTTCGTTTCCACTGCCCCGTGCCGTCCGTCTGCCTGTCAGGTCCATCATGATGAAGTTGAAGAACGGCTCCAGCAGGGTGGCGGGCGTCGCTGTTGTGGCGGCAAACACAAACCCTTCCGATGGCTTCTCTCCACACACCAACTGTCCCAACGAGAACACGGGTGGGTGAGGGTTCGCCTGCTGAGACTTGTCCCTCAGTATGAAACCCGTTACAGACATTTATTTATTTATGATCCTCAGAGGGCGCAGAGCATGAAATAACACGTTGTAGTGGATTCAGTTTTAATGTTCTGTGAACAGTTTCTGCAACATTGTAGTGTCACCATATAGTCACGCGTGTACTTAAAACACAGATTTAATTCCTCATCGCTTTATATATATTTTTTTCTTCAGTTTGATACCATAAATTCAAAGCTGCAAGTGTGCATATGAGAGTTACTTTTTTAACTGAGCAAGAATAGTTTCAGACAGCCAGTGCAAAATCGCCTTGTCCAATGCTTTTTAATACTTTATGTTTTGTTATTTTATAATATTAAATAACAGTGGATGTAAATAGTTGCGAAGTGAAATGAGCCGCCGGTTCTTAAAGGATCTTCCCCAATTCTGTATTCAAATGTTCTTTTACTGATTTAATGTATAATGCTATAGATTTATGTAATGACCGTCAGTTTTAATTCATTAAACTAATCCTATTTTGTCCATCAGTTTGGTAAACAGCCCTAAATACTACATTACCCATGACACCACTGCTATGGAGAAGAAGTGATTCACATTTGTGGCATATTCAAAATACTTAATTTTTGAACAAAACATGTCACCATAGCTGCTAAATGAATCCAAAATTGACCCAGAATACAAAACGGAGTTGATTTACTGCTGCATATTGTAGTTCCTGTAATCTTTAGTGTTTGGGTTTTTCTTTCTTTAAGCTCGCTGATTGAATGTTTCATGAAGTTTATACGCACACAGGGCTTTGACTTTTTAATCAAAGAATCAAATGTTTTTTAATTGAGTTGTACTGATGATTGAACCGGGTTAATTTCATTCCCATCCAGGCTGAAGGAAAACAATATTTCATCTACATTTATTTAGACTTTTACATCACAGCTGTATAGGATGTATTAAGACAGAATACAATATTTAAAAGCTCACCTGTCGAAATTGAGGAGCTAGATCCTAACACCATTTTTAGCTTCACTTTCTATGCTTTAAAGAAATCCGTCCACTCTTCATGAGTGGACTGCTTTAGTATCAAGGCTGCTTACATGAACTCTATGTATTTCCCTCAGGCGTGTACACAGAGAGCTACGATCCAGCCATGGCCCATTGTAACGTGACAGTGTGGAACCCTTTGGGAAACGGTTTGTCCTACGAGGAGTTCGACTTCCCCATCTTCTCTATGAAGGACGACAATGACACTCAGGTCATACGTCAGGTAAGAGGACAGGAATCAAAAGAAGTTCATATTTTGTCTGTTAATCCCATTTGATATAATCACTTTGTTGTCTCTGCTGTCACAAAATGTCTCTCTCACTGTTTTCCAGTTGCCTCTGGTGTTTGAGAATAGACATATTTTAGAGGAAAAGTACAGTTCCAGAGAGTCTGATCTGAACTTGTCCCAGTAGTGGTTGAGATTAGGCACGATGCCTGTGAAGCTTCAGCAGCACTTAAGATCTTCTCTCAGGAGCCAACATGTTGTGACACATTATGTTCAGGACCCATAAATATTTAGCTGCTTTCCCACTCTAGTGTGTGACAAAAAGGTTATCTGCATATCTGCCTCTGATGCAGTGAACGTGTTCATAAGGTTCTCTTCCTCAGCAGCAGGTTTCATGTTGCAGGTTTCAAAAAAACAGCTAACCTGCCGGTTTAAAACTCTACAAACTGCTCTGTGAAGGTCTGTGTTGGTGACTTTTTGTTGATCCTGAAACATTTAAACGTCTTTATCCGGAGGCTGAATTCACGTCACAGTTTATCTCTATGAGTTTAAAGGTTGTGGTTGCTCCCCGTCTCAGATAAGATGGCTGGGTAGACAAGGGAAACTCTCCTGTAAGCTTTTGGTTTGAGGTTTGATCCCCAACTGTCAGAGTGATAAATTTAGCCCCAGACATGGAAGTTAATGTATCGCTGTGTTCAAACCTGCAAGTGTGCCCCTGAGCAAGAGCACCAGACCCAGTTATAGACGTTCCAACTTGTTCTGAAGGATTGCAAACTAATTGAGATTCTCTTAAAATACTATAACGTTATCGAACCCACACACGAAGATGTTCCTAATGTGTATGCTGTTCTCCATTGGCAGTGCTACATGGACCATAACCGCGCTGTGAACGGCAGCACTCCTCAGTACCCGCTGTGCGCCATGCAGCTCTTCTCCCACATGTCCGCCGTCACCGACACGGCCACCTGCATGAGGAGAAATGACATCGCCTTTAGCCTGAGCCCAGGTATTCATTTACACACTAATACATATCTAACAACAGGTTCACTTACTGTGCAAAGGCCCTTTTTAAAAGGCTACACACTTTGTCAGGGAGAAAATCTATTGAAATGCAAGAAAATATCCAATGTTTATGCTGTTTTTTTGTTCCGTCTCTCCCTTTAGAGATGGTTTGTGACCCCTTGAGTGACTATAATGTCTGGGCCTCCACTAAGCCTCTCAACAACACAGCCAAGGGCCACAAGGTGGGGGAGCACGTGGTCGTAGCAGCAGCACGGGTGAGTTACTGACCTTTAGTCCTGTACCCATATTTCAACATTTGTTAGTTATTATCACGTGAGTTCATGAACACCGTTAGCATTTCTTCAGCCAGTATCTGCAGTGATCTCACTCACTTTGAAAGCCTTCCAGTATGAAAGCTAAGACCAAGCGAGCTAACATGGCGCACGTGATGTAACGGTTACAATCTGAGCTTTATCGACTAAATTATGAATCAGTCAATTGAGAAACTAATCGGCAGATACGTGATGATGAAAATAATGGTTAGTTGCAGCCCTGCTTTTCAACAGAAATGCATTATAACGTTGGTAAACAAAGACCAGATGGGCTGCGTTCCCTCACAGTTTGCTTCATGCTGTGATTTAATAATGAGGTCATTGCAAGTTGAACTGAACTCCTTACCTTGATAAGACGTCTGCTTGACGGATCTCCTCTCCTCCCCGCAGTTGGACAGCAGGTCTTTCTTCTTTGGCATCGCTCCGGGAGCTCAGAGCGGCGTCTCTGGGTTTGTCGCTCTGCTGGCGGCCGCTCACGCTCTGCGGAATGCCACCCAGGAGGCTCCGCCTCCACACAACATCCTCTACGCCTTCTTTCAAGGGGTCAGTCGTTTACACGTCACTGTATTCACCGCTGTGCTTGACAACTCTAACCGTACTCATCTATTTCTTTTGATTTATTTGACTCCAGGAAACCTTTGACTACATCGGCAGTTCGAGGATGGTGTATGATATGCAGAACAATCACTTTGCTGTGGACCTGGACAACATTCACTCAGTACTGGAGGTTGGACAGGTGTGTATGTTTCTGTGTTCTGTATCAACCTGCTGAGGATATCAGATTTTTAGGTAATACTTAAAGAAATATTAAGTTTTTAATACTAGCAGCAATACAATACCGAGGGTTCGGTTCCTAAAATATATCTAACAAATACTACTAATCATTAGATAACTTTTGGTACTTTTTCATTCTCAGTGGACATGTGTGTTTGGTTTAATAATATATTTATGCCCGATACCAAATCCTACTTTAAACAACTTACTTAATAAACAGATGCCTTAAAAACTTGACTCATGAAACCATAATAAACTAAACTCATGTTATTATATTATTACAAACTGTGTATGTGTCAAACATATTGATGCCAAAATAATTATAGCTGCACCTTTTACATTGTGAACAGATTCGGTTAAGAATACGTAGTTGACTCTTTTTCACTTTAACGTTATAAGACATGAGTTATGTTTCTGTACGTGTGTGTGTGTGTGTGTGTGTGTGTGTGTGTGTGTGTGTGTGTGTG